TGGAAGTAGTTTGTCACTCTTTCTTCCTAGTCTGTCTTTGTTTGGAAGCTCATCTGAAACCTGTCCACCATGGGTGACCCTGCTGGTTATTTAAAATACCGGTGGCATAGCCCTCAGAATCACAGCAATTCAAACCACCACAGCACGACAGACAGATGAGTGGTGGTTGTGTGGTAGCTGTTACACACGAATCTCCTTGCGCTACGGCCCTTAAGTCCGGCTCAAAGGTGGGATTTCCGTCCTTGGATGTTGCGTCAGTCAAGAGGCGGAAGCGCAGCAGGGGTGATAGGGTTGTGGGTCTCTAAGTTGGTGTCTAAATTGGTGTGTAGTGTAGCACCTATATATTAGTCTCATTAATATTTCTGATGGTTTAGCACATGATTGGGACAACAGAATAATTACAACAAAACCAATTCTTTAACTTCAGTTGTTTGCATGTTATCAAGAAGAACCAGTCCCTGGAGAAGGGCATCATACTTTAATAAAATGGAGGGTGAGAGGGATAGGGGAAGGCCCCCAATGAGATGGAATGACACAGTGGCAGCAGTAATGGGCGAAAAGGTAACTGTGAGGATGGCGCATGACCAGTCAGTGTTTTATTCGTCTCTAGGAGTTGGAACCAACTTGATGTCAGTTAACAATAACAACAAAGTTTTATAATCTCTTGTGTGGCACTGTAGGATAAGTAATGGACTGCTAACGACAAGGCTGGCAAATGAAACCAATCAGTCTTTCCTTCCAAACCATGATCACAATGAGTCAGAACTGACTCGACAGCACTTAACAACAACAAATATAGATATAGGAACATCTATTGTGCAAAGACATAAATGCAAATATGAGGTTAGCTTTTTTTGTTTTATGATACAATAAAACATTAGTTATATGACCATTATAATCTCCAAATTTAAAAAAATTAAAGCACTGGCTCTTTAGTTATAACCGGTTCCTATTCCTCTATTTTCTTACCGTCTGTGGGCGACTGAAATGTAGTTTCTCTCGAGCTTCATGGGATAAAGATAAATCTCTGAGAGTCAAATAATCTAAATCTTTTGGTAGCCGGAGAGCTTCATCTCGCTGAACTTCCTCTATTTCTTGTTGCTGACGGAACAATGCTGTTTCATAAACGGCTGGTAAACAAAATTAGAATTATGTTATGATACTCAGATTATATTAACAATTTACATCTCTATAGCCTTTTACAATTTACAGAGTTTTTACAGATTTCGTGGAATAATGAAATTAAACCTTAATGGAAAATGCAATTTAAACTTAATAGAATTTTTCCACAAACTTTTTGAAGGCCCCTCATACACTATCTCATCCAACAATCATCTCAACACCATGAAACTGATGCAGTAAATGTTCCAACTTCTACATTCTAATAGCCAGCAATTTTCAATGCATTTTGGATCAATTTCAGACTGAAGAAGCTGGTAGAATGCTTCAATTTCTTCATTATTGGCTTTAGTGGTTGGTACATAAATTGGAGGAAAATATTGAAAGTGCAATGGGCTGCCAAAAGAACCAATAGATCCATTTTGGAAGAGTGCAGCCAGAGTGCCCCTTAGAGGACAAGAGGGCTAAACTTCATCTCTCATACTTCGGACGTATTGTTAGGAGGGACCAGTCGCTGGAGAAGGAGGATATCATGTTTGGTAAGGTGGAGCGTCAGAGGAAAACAGGAAGACCCCCAACAAGATGGACTGGCTAAGTGGCAGCATCGATGGACTCAAGCATGGCAACTGTAGTGAGGCTGGCCCATGAACGGGAAGTGTTTTGTTCTGCTCTGCATAAGGTCGCTATGAGAGTTGGTACCTAACAACAACAACAACATAAATCTGAATAACCGGTCTTCCTTGTAGGTATAGGGATATTATCCAATCAGTCAATATTGTACTTCAAAATAGATCTTGAAAGGCTCTTGATAATGAATGTAACACCTTTCTTCTTCAATTTGTCATTCCTGGCATAGTAAACTATATAACTGCTTGATTCAAAATGGCACCTGCCCATTTCAGTTCACTAATACCTAGAACATTGATCCTTAAGAATTCCATTTCATTTTTGACAGTTTCCAATTTTCCTAGAGTCATACATAGTACATACCAAGTTCTGATTATTAATGGATGTTTGCAGCTGCTTCTTCTCATTCTGAGCTGTCCCCAATCAGCAATGAAAGTATACAAAGGTTTTGTCCATCACATCATTAAGGCCAACTTTATTTTGAGGAGACACCTCTTCCCCAGTCATACTTTGAGTGCCTTCCACTCTGAGAGGCTCAACTTCCTGCATTACATCAGACACGATTCTGCTGCTATTCATAAGGCTAATCCCTCAGGAGTAGTCTGACTTTCCTTGTTCCTAGTCTGCCTTATTTTGGAAGCTCTACTAAAATCTGGCCACCATGGATGCCTCTGCAGCTATTTAAAATATCTGTGGCATAGTTTCTGGCATAACAGCAACACACAAGTACCAAAGTCCAACAAACTGATAGATGGATGATAGCATTAGTCAAAACCACAATGAGATACCGCTTCACACCCACCAGGATGGTTTTTACTACGGAAAAGAAAAGGATAGTAACAAACACAAGAGGGCTTCAAAATGTTTGAGGAATAATTCCAGTATCTTTTAATTCTAATTTTCCATGAACTTTTGGAAGCCATCTTGTATAGGAAATTAGTGAGGATGTGGAAAAATTGGAACCTTCATGTATTGCTAGTGGGAATGTAAATGATGCAGTTGATTTGTAAAACAGTTTAGCAGTTCCACAAAAAACTAAACATAAAATTACCATACAACACAGCAATTCCATTCCAGGATACACAGAAAACTTGAAAACAATTATCAAACAGATACTTGTATAGTAATGCTCACTGCAATATTATTCACAATCATGAAAAGGTGGAAAAAAACCAAGTGTCCATCAACAGATGAGTGTAAAAACAAAATGTGGTGTATATATACAATGAAGTATTTTCAGCTATACAAAAATATGAAGTTCTGATTCATGCAAACACATGAATGAACCTTGAAAACAACGTGCTTAAGTAAAATACGTCAGACACAAAAAAACAAATACTGTATGATCTCATTTATATAAAATGTAGAATAGGTAAATGTACAGAGACCAAATAGGAATAGTAGTTACCAGGGGCCAGGGAGAGAGATGAATGGGCAGCTACTACTTAATGGGTACCCAGTTTCTGTTTGCAATGATGAAAAAAGTTTTAAGAGATAATGGTATGGTTGTACAACATTATAAATGTAATTACTGTCACTGAATTGTATACATTAAAATGGTTAAAACGGTAACTTGTTATAAACTACAAAAGACATCTGTGGTGTAGTGAAGGATTTCAAGGCTCTTCTAGCCTGAGTCTTTGTAACTCCCATCAAACAATTCCTTTCCTGCTGGGTCTGGGTAAGATAAGGTGGGAAAAGACACTGATAGGATGACATGATTCAGCTGTGGATATTAGCAGCGTTAACTGCAATTTTAAAAACTTGAAACTCTTGCATGGTTATAAAATGATCCATCTCAGAAGCAGTAATGGGGGATGTCACTAACATCAAGAAGAAAAAGTCAGGAGTGTAGTATGTCTTTTGGGCCCTGAGATTTCTGTACATTGAACCTCCTCAACCCAGAGAGAGAAAGCTGTGATATCAGAGGAGCAGCAAAGGAGTGGCAGAGGAGCAGCAGCAGCAGAACCGAGAGCCAGAGTACGAGATAAAGCGGTGGGCCTCCCAACCCACACAGCAAGTAAAACTGTATGACTGTGGGCAGGAGGCTTGCTTAAGAATGGGGCACTGACCCACATGGAGCGAAGCCAAGAGCCTGTGGGCTGAGGTTTATAGCAGAGTGGAATACCTCTGAGCACCGATCACCAGCCCCAAGAGAGAGGTCTGCCTATGGGCATGGGTGAGGAAAGGCTGTCCTGACTGAAGAGTTGTGCCCTGAACATTTCTGCCCCTGAATTGTAACCTGTTAATTTCCTTAATAAGGAGCTCTGGTAGCGTAGTGGTTACGAATCGGGCTATGAACCTTAAGGCCAACATTTTGAAACTACCAGCCGCTATGCGGGAGAAAGATGAGGCGTTTTGCTCCCGTAAAGATTTACAGCCTCGGAAACCCTGTACAGGGTCACTATGGGTCGGAACCGACTCGACGGCACTTAACAACAACAACAATCTGTTTAATAAACTCCATAACTGTGAATATTTGAGTTCTGTGTGGACTTTGCAATGAATTATTGAACCTAGCTGAGCAAACAGTGCTGTGGGAGGAATGGTTTGGTGTTATTATAATTTTTCCTCATCTGCGGTCAGTCAACTGACCAAGAGTAGGGGAGCATACTATGTGTTATCATGATACATGGGATCAGACTCTAGATGTCTTCGCCAGATACAAAATAAGTATGTGTCAAAGGCAGCGTATTCCCATATATTCTCAAGCCAAATATATTATGTTTCTCATTATGAGAACATTTTATGGGACGAATGTAAAAAGGAAGTTCAAGGGGGAAAAAGTAAGCTTTTTAAGAAAGGGGACCTCACCCCAGTGGCTCAATTTTCAGTCAAGCAATAGGTAAGTAAATAGGGGTGACAACGACACTACTAGTGAACACAGAATGGTCAATCATTCGAGATCAAAAGGGCAGCATCAACCCAGAAGGGTTGGAAGAGATGGAGAAATGAAAAACAAACCCAGGAGGAAGTGGGATAAGTGATGTTACATTGAGGGAACTGCATTCATTGAGAAAAATAAAACGTGTGATCTGTTGAATGCAAAACCAATGATATGCTCTGTAAACCTTCACTCAATTCACAACAAAATGTTTAAATCAATAAAAGAAACCCCCATAGGTGCACTTCTGTCAAATGTGAATATGAATACTCTGAGGATTTTGTTAAAAAGCAGATTCCCAGTCAGTGGATCTGGGGTGGGGCCAGATATTGTTGCATTGCTAATTTAGTAGCCACACTTTGCGTCTAAGTTTATACTGATCCTATGGGTCTTGGTGTAGCACCGTACGATAAACACTGGACTGCTAACAGCAAGGTTGTCATTGTCCTTTTTTTTCCCTTAGTAATAATCATCCTAGTGAGTATAAAGTGGTATCTCATTTTGGTTTTGATTTGCATTTCCCTAATGACTAATGATACCACCCACCTGTCACTAGAGTGCTAATCACAAGGTCAGTGGTTCAAACCCATCTCACAAAATCTACAATGGATCACTATGAGTCAGAATCAACTCAACGGCACATAACAACAACTATAATGGTTCCTCTTGGCATCTGCTGTCCAGTCATAGTTTACATAAATGGAAAAGAGAACACACAGGCATCTGAGTAAAAAAAAAATTACTTTCTACCTTCTGTCTTCAGTCTTTCAGCTAGCTCTCCACACTCAGTGTACTTCTTCAAGGGCTCTGGAACAGCTTTGGCCAATAATGACATGTCAACTTCCTCATATTTCAAAACATCTAGAGCTCTACGAACACAAAAAAGTTTTATTAACATAAGAGTCAATAATATATAAGGTAGATTAAGAACAAGATTCTTAAAAACAGTACCAAATCTCAGAATAACATCAAAAGATACTCCTAATTCTTAAGAGCAGTGAACAAAGGTAGCAATATCTGCAACACAGAATTTCAGTAAGATTTAGTTTATGAGTCTCTCCATACACTCCCTTCCCTTATCATTAGAAGGAAATTGTTAGTAAAAATAATTTGTAAGGGCAGAATATCCTCTGGTAACAAGAATGTGGAATGTGCTTTTCACACACAGGGTCCTGGGAATGAGAGTCCTTTTGCATAATGAACTCCCTGAGCAAGAATAAGAGGCCACCATCTGTTTTAAACTGCTGCAAAACAAACTGAGGAAATTCATCATATGTATTCTTCTGTGAGCCCTGGTGTGGCGCTATAGGATAAGCATAGAATTATTAACCACAAGGTCGGCAGTTCAAACCCTCCAGCTGCTCTCTAAAACACTACACAGGGTCACTAAGAGTTGGAACCAACTGGACAGTATTCAATAATATATTCTTCTACTCTGATATTTTCTCCAAATTTGGTATAGTCTTCAATTTTTACTGTTTCGTAACTTCTAAAGTTAATTTTTAGTTCTACTACCTACTCTGGATGGGCAAAAGCCTCTTGGGCATTTGAATTATGGTGCTGACAAAGATATTAAAAGCACCATGGACTGCCAGAAGAACAAATAAATCTGTGTTGGGAAAAGTACAGCCAGATGCTGCTGCTTCTTGAAGCCATTATGGTAAAGAGCAGCTCTCACATTTCAAACATGTTATTGTTGTTGTTGTTAAGTGCCATCGAGTCGGGTCCGACCCATAGCGACCCTGTACAGGGTTTCCAAGGGTGTAAATCTTTACGGGAGTAGAAAGCCTCATCTTTCTCCCGTGGAGCGGAAACATGTTATTAGGATGGACTAATACCTGGAAAAGGACATCAAACTTGGTAAATTAGAGGGTCAGTGAAAAAGAAGACCTCCACAAGATGGATGGGCACAGTGGCAACAGCAATGGGCTCAAACATAACAACAATAGTGAGGCTGGCACAGGACCAGGCTGTGTTTCATTCTGTTGTGTATATGGTCACTATGAGTTGGAACCCATTCAATAACACCTAACAATAGCAGTAACATAAATTTCCTGAGGGTACGGATGTGAAGTTTTTCACCTCACTGAATCATAACACTTGACAAATACACTACTAGAACCCTGCAGGCTGCCCCGCAAATCTTCTTAATCAATGAACACATTATAGTGGTTTTCTTTAGCAAAGGTTAACACTGTATCTCTCAACGTAATTTACGGAACTCCATCCAAACTCACTGGACTTGTGGTATGGTACTGTTGGTTAATGCGCTGGGCTGTAAAGTCTGTTTGAACCAGGAGACTGCTCCTCGGAAACCCTATACAAGGTCGCTATGGGTCGGAACCCAACTCGATGACACTTAACAACACAACATTCATACTCACTGCCATCTATCTAATCAATTCTGATTCATAGTGACACTACATATGGTTTCTAATGCCATAAATCTTTACCAGAGCAGAAAGCCTCAATTTTTCTGACAGAGTAGCTGATGGATTTGAATTGTTGTTGTGTTTTCCCCACAGACCCTGAGAAATTTATTGAGAAATTGAGAAATTTCAGCTTGTAGCACTGATTTTTGATCTAACCTGGAAAGACATAATGATCTTACTCTCTTACTGCTGCATTGCAGATGAAAAACACCACATAAGTGCTGCCAGACACAAAGAAACCACACTCATGCCACCAATCAACACGTGGCTGATGGGGCAGGACAGGATCTTCTCTGTAAGTTGGGAATAGTATTAGCTTTTACCCCTGTAGTACAGATGTTAGTTATAAAGAAAGTACTGCCAGAAAGAGTAACATTCCTTCTGATCTCCACGATTTGGATCCAGAGGTTTGAGCAATGGGAAAACCCACTAGAGCCATCTCTCTCTATATACATACATACATACTCTATCTATATATGTTGTTGTTGTTGTTAAGTGCTGTCGAGTCGATTCTGATCCATAGCGACCCTGTACAGGGTTTCCAAGGCTGTAAATCTTTACGGGAGCAGACCACCTCATCTTTCTCCCGCGGAACCGCTGGTAGTTTCGAACTGCCGACCTTGAGGTTCGCAGCCCGATTCGTAACCACTACGCTACCAGAGATCCTTCTATCTACATATATAAGACTCTATATAAGTTCAGGGAGTCCTGGTGTGGCACTCTGGGTTAATGAGCTAGATTGTAAATTGGTTTGAATTGCAAGGTTGGCGGTACAAGTTCCCCAGCTCCTCCTAGGCAACCCTATACAGGGTTGCTATGAGTTGGAATGACGTGATTGCACTTAACAACAAAAACAACAATATACATACAGGAGTCCTGATACGGTGTTGTAGGGTAAGCAATGGACCACAATATACATATATATTGTTATGTGCTGCCAAATTGTGAACTGCTGTCTTTGAGTTAGCAGTCCAGTGCTTATCCTACAGTGCCACCAGGGCTCCTTAATTTATATGAAGGAAAAAGTGATTTTTCCTGACACTTTTCTGACACAATTACTGACACTTCTCATTGAGAAATGTTTTAAAATGATGTAAAACTTCTATAGCATTTATAAGTTCCATATGTGCTTGCAGGCAGATGCTCTCCCTATAAGGCTGATACATGTAATTTAAAAATAGATCCAGTTACTGGATACCCAACTTTCCTTTGAAATACCATATGTGAATTTATAGCTAAAATTAGTGTGTTGTTAAGTACCTTTGAGCTGGTTTCAACTCATAGCAACCTTGTATTGAGTTTCCAAGGAGCAACTGGTGGTTTTGAACCACTGACCCTGCAGTTAGTAGACTAGTGTTTATTCTACAGTGCCACACCAGGACTCTAAAAATTAATATAAGAAAGTGTAATACTTCTGTAAAAATAGCTATGATAATATTTTATTACTTAATAAAATATTGAAAACCAAGGAAACTGTAATAATCCTTTAAAATAATTGAAAGCCAACAGAAAGTTTGTTAAGAGAAATCAGCATAATTTTATCATATGATGAGAATACATTTTTTTTTGATTCCCAGGAAATTCAACAGTAAATTTACTGTTCAATAAGAAAAAAGTTTCATTTCTAAAACCTAATCATTTCCTACTCTTCTACATTGCCTCTGATTTAATTTTTATTTGTAATTATCCTTTTGTCATGATTAGTTTATTACTGCTTGCTAAAAAAGAGGAAGACCTCTAACAAGATGGATTGGCCAGGTGGCATCACTGATGGACTCAAGTGTGGCAGCGGTAGTGAAGTTGGCCCAGGATCGGACATTGTTTCGTTCTGCTGTGCATGGGGTCGCTATGAGTCGGTTCCGACTCGATGGCACCTGACAACAACAACAACAACCACCTTGAATTCTTTTTTCCAATAAGGAGGATAAAAATAATCGTGTAGAATTATATATATATCATTACTGTCAAATGCCGCAAAGTTGGTTCTGATTCATAGCAATCCTGTATAGGGTTTCCAAGGAGCAACTGGTGGTTTTGAACCACCAACCATGCAGTTAACAGTCCAGTGCTTATCCTACAGAGTCATACCAAGACTCCACACAGGTCTGTAATGCTGAACAAGTAGATGAGTTACATCTAAAGGATTACAGGTATTTCCAGTTTTACAAAAGTCTGCTTTACACCACTTAGCTGTCACAAAAGATTTGTTACCTAATTTCCCTAACCAAAAAAATTCAAAGAGGATTTTTGCTTTTATGAAAAAAGGCAAAAAGAAAAACTAGCATTCAATGTTTGCTTTGTATCAAGTCATTCAAAAGGCAGAACACACCCCAGAGCAGCAAGAGTGGTATGGCCAAGCTTCTCAGCATCAAATCGCCATAACTTTGAACTGTGTCTGTGTACCCCATTATGTTAGTGCTATTTTAGGTTTTATGTGTTATTTGGTATGATCTGGTAGGTTATTTTTGCTCAAAAAAATTTCCCATATACATTAATAGCAAATGCTTCGTTTTATTCTATTTTGGCTTACAGAAGATTCACAGAAACACTCTACTGGATAGTGTGGGGGAAGGTAGGGCGATACTGAAAAGAAGCCAAAAGCAAGTTACATTAATTTTACATATATATATATATATATATATATATATATATATTTGTTGTTGTTGTTGTTGTTGAGTACCGTGGAGTTGGTTCTGACTCATAGTGACCCTGCACCAGGTTTCCGAGGCTGCGAATTTTTATGGGAGCAGAAAGCCTCATCTTTCTTCCACGGAACAGCTGGTAGTTTCAATTGCCGACCTTGAGGTTAGCAGCCCCATTCATAACCACTATGCTACCAGAGCTCCTTATATACATATACGTACACATATACATATATATGTTGTTGTTGTTATGTGCCATGGAGTCAGTTCTGACTCATAGCAACCCTATACAGGGTTTCCAAGACTGTAGATCTTTATGGGAGCAAAAACCATCATCTTTCTCCCACGGAACAGCTGTAGTTTTTAACTGCTGACGGTGAGATTAGCAGCCTGATTTGTAACCACTACGCTACCAGAGCTCCATATATATATGTAAAAAAAAATACATTAATTTTACATATATATGTAAAGTTATATAAAATTTACATCTGTATATGTATATGTACATATATATATGAAATTTTTGGAAATTAGCTCATTTTTTCCTATAAAACATTTGAAAGGTCTATATTAAAAAGACATACCTGAGATGCTGACTTTTACTAATACTTATAGGAGCCTCTGGGATTAACTTTTTCCATTTAGCACTAGGAAGCTCAATGGATTTCAGCACAGAAATGCCTTCTTCTAAAGAAGACTTCATCCAAGATGCCCTCTCATATCGCTTTTGGGACACACAGCCAGATTCCTTATAGCCTAGGAGAGAGAGAAAAAAAAATTAATGAAAGAGGTTTTAAAGAAGAATAAACTAGATTGCAGGACTCAGAAAGAAAGAGTTACCTCGAAATGTGAGCCTGCTGTCCGCATTATCAGGGCGCAGTGACAAACGGAACTCCACTCGGCTAGTGAACATGCGGTATGGTTCATTGGTGCCCAGAGTGGTAAGGTCATCAATCAAGACACCTATGTAACCTTCTGTACGGCTAATGACAAAAGAAGGTTTGCGACGAACCCGAAGACTGGCGTTGATTCCAGCTATCACACCCTACAAGAGGACTGAAATGTTTAAGGCCATTATGAACACATTAAAGAGCTATCCTCCTTAGCACACCACCTGGAAGAAAAGCAAGCACTGCTCATAAGGGATAATTGTTTTGTTGTTGTTAGTGCCGTTGAGTCGGTTCTGACCCATAACGACCCTGTATCGGGTTTCCGAGGAGCAGCGGGTGGATTTTAACCTCCAACCTCACAGTTCAAACTGACTTTGCAGTCCAGCACATTAACCCACAGCAACACACCAGGACTCTAAGGGATGTAACAGAGGTAAAAAGTAATCTGTATTCAGAAAATATGGATAATGTAGCTCTTTAGAGTGCTATAATGCACTGTGTTTTAGAAATACCTAATAATTCTGATAAGCCTAAGTGAAACTAATCAATTAAAAAAAATTGTAAATTCTAGTCTTTTCCCACTTTCACATAAAAATGCCATAACTTACCACTTAACAAGAAATAAAATATAATAATCTTCAATAAAGTTATACTAAAAAAACTAAATATATTCTTTTTTAAAATTTCAGGTGCAATATAATACATCTAATCAAAATGCTACATCAGATCTAGAAACTCAGAACAGAATAATAAAATCAGAAGTATTTCTTAAAGTCCTATTAGATACAACAGCCACTTCCATACACCCTGAAGCAAACAGTCTTCCATTACAGTTATGAGTATATCTAAAATTTGCATAGTTAAAAAAACACACATTAAAAGGAGGAATACCAGTTAAATAGCTCCTCTCTGTTTACAGTGCCATTTGAACAGTCTCTTACTTGAGCTGCAGCTTCCTCATAACCAGTGGTGCCATTTATCTGCCCAGCAAAGAAGAGCCGTTGAACCAAATGAGTCTCGAGGGAGGGAGAGATCTGACGGGGGTCAAAGTAATCATACTGAACACCATAGCCTGACCAAAGAATAAATGGTACAAAATAAGTAAAATGGAGCTGTAGGTAGAGATGCAAAGAGTACCAGTAAATGCCCTTCAGAGTCAGATTCTTTTATTTTATTCCTTTATGTATATTTTCTTTATAAGGGAGTTCAATAAGGAGCTCTGGTAGGGTAGTGTATTATGAGCTGAGCTGCTAACCACAGGGTCAGCAGTTTGAAACTACCAGTCGCTTTGTGGGAAAAAGATGAGGTTTTCTGCTTCAATAAAGACTTACAAACTCAGAAATCCTACACAGGGTCACTAGGAGTCAGAACCAACTCCAAGGCACATAATCACCATCACCATAGGAATTCAATAAGTGATAACTTTACTATGGTATAAGCATGCAGATAACTTGAATACAAGCCAGAACACAATATACAACATAAATGAGGTACTGATTAAGTGCTTTTAAGTTTGAAAGTTTATGTTTTTCAACTTTCCAGAAGTCAGAACTATCTTCATGAAGGCAGTGTTCCTTAAAGTTTCCAGCTGTTTTCATAAGTCAGCTATTTACAAGGGTCTACCTATACAGGGTCACTATGAGTCAGAACCAACTTGATGGCACTTAACTATGAGTCAAACTTTGAACCAGAAGTTTTCCATCTACTATTTCACTTCATTCATTCAAAAGAATAGCAAGGCAAAGTTAATCATCCCCAATTTTCAGATGAGGAAAATGACATCCCAGATGCTCAAATAAGTTACAAGGTCACACAGTAAATAATGGAGTTCAATATTCTAACTCAAATGATTGTGTTCTGAAATTTGACGAGTATGATCTTAGGTTTTAGGGGTAAAAGTCAGATTATTTTAAGTGTGCATTTGTTGAGATTTATCTTCTTAGGCTCTATGTGCCCAAGTCCTCTAACTGCCTGATGAATGATGCTGAGGGTACACTTGAGGTAGTTAAGATACTCTTTACCTGGCTGAATCATCCTAGCTTTCGCCAAGCCTCTGATGCATGTGATCATTTTCTCCTGTAACTCTACTGGTAGTGTTACAGATAATCCTTGAGGGTAGATAACGTCAGAATCCAATCCTTCAGGCTCCAACCAAACCTGATGTACGCGATTTGGAAAACGCAAAACCTTTGATTCAATAGAGGGGCAGTATCTGGAATAGGACATTGAAATTAAAAAGCTTATGAAAAAAACAAAGAAGAGAGCTGATACCATTTCTTAAAGTAATCAAGCACTGACATTTTGTCCTTACCGGGGTCCTCTTGTAGTTTCTTTAATGTGACTATTAAGGTGAAGGTTCTCAAGAACAATCTCATCCACTCTAGAGTTGGTGTGTGTCAAGTAACATGGTAGCTGATCTTCAGGCTAAAAAACAGTAACCAAATTATTTCTCTATTAAGGAGCTCTGGTAGCGTAGAGGTTACGAACTGGGCTGCGAACTGCAAGGTCAGCAGTTCAAAACTACCAGCTGTTCCATGGGAGAAAGATGAGGATTTCTGCTCCCATAAAAATGTACAGCCTCAGAAAGCCTGTACAGGGTCACTATGCGTCAGAACCTAATCCACAGCACACAGCTGCAACCACCAATTTGCTTATACAAATAAAGTCCACAAGACACACATGAAAACAGACTTTAAATCTACACATAATATTAAGTAATTTTTGTGAAGTATTCTTGTCAAAAACAATCTCCCAAATGAACCAAAATCTAATCAAGTCTTTAGATTTATATACTAGTCTATAGGAAATGTAGACAAAAAAATAACATGTTTAAAACATCACAGAGATATAACCAAATCTAGAAGGTGGGAAATTCTAGAGAACAATTTGTCTATTCTACATATAAAGGTTAAAAATTAAAGAAAGGGCGTTATTATAGACTAAAGAGACTTAAAGACATATCAATCAGTGACTTAAATAATACAACTATAAAAAAACTTTTTTGGAAAATTGAACAATGAACATTATATGAAATTAAGATACTGAGTATTCTAGGTGTGACTGATTTTTATACAGGGATTGATTTTTCTAAAGTTCTTATCTGTTAAGAGTCAAGTTCCATCAAACTGACTCCAACTCACAGTGACTCTGTATAGAGTTTCTGAGAAGTGGCTGGTGGGTTTGAACAGCTGACCTCGAATCAAACTGGCCTTGTGGTCTAAGGTATTGCTTTTTAAATCAGAAAGAAAAAAGTGTTGAAATATCAAGCGAGGATGCCAAAATGTTATTTGCTGAAACTGGGTGAAGGGTAGATAGAGGCTCATTATACTATTTCCTTCATTTTCTGTAAACTTGAAAATTTATAATAAAAACGCAAAAAGTACATACACTTAGAAAGTATCATCACATATTGCATTTTACAAAGCAAAAATGTAAAAGTAGCTTTATCAAATAATAGACAATTTCGAGCCATTCATTAGTATGAGGGTGCTTCAAAAAGTTCATGGGGTAAAAAAAAAAGTTCACAGAAAACTCCATTATCTTTCAATATCATTTTCCCACAAACGTTTTTAAGCCTCCTCACATAATACTGGAGTCCTTGGTGTGGCGTTGTGGGTAAATGCGCCAGACTGCAAAGCCATTTGAACTGCAAGGTCGGCAGTTCAAGTTCACCAGCTGCTCCTTGGAAACCTTATTCAGGGTCACAATGGGTCGGAACACTCAACGGCACTTCATAACAACAACAACACATAATACTAGAAAGTAAGACTCTCAATTATTCCTCATTTTAAACATACAACATAATATACATTATGTAATTTAAAGATAGACAGTGTGGTTTGTACTCTTCAAAAAATGTCTATATCATTAGAGACAAACAAAGCTAGTATGGAATTGATCCTGATTAAAGAAACTAAAGAGAAATGGCAATTATATGCAAGGCATGATTTTAGTTTGTGGGAAGAAGGACTTACAAGGGCAACCCGTAAAATCTGACTATGGTCTTTGTATTAGATGATGGTATTGAACCTATGTGAAATTTCCTAAATTTGATCACTGCATGAAAGAGGATCTCTTTATGCTTAGTTAAGATACAGGATGAAGTATTTAAGGGTAAAGGATAAAGGATCATGATTTCTACAATTTATTCTCAGATCTCTCAGAAGAAGAAATAAAAGACTAAGAATAAATATGCATATTATTGTATTATGTACTAAATATAAACATCTAGAGTTATCTCTATGTTGTTGTTATTAAGTGCCGTCAAGTCTGTTCCGACTCATAGTGACCCTGTACAGGGTTTCCAAGGAGCAGCTAGTGAGTTTGAAGTGCCAACCTTACAGTTCAAACCAACCTTGCAGTCCACTGTTTATACTACAGTGCCACACTAAGACTCCATATATCTATATATATAAATGTTGTTGTTGTTGTGAAGTGCTGTCAAGTTGATGCTGACCCATAGCAACCCTGTATAAGGTTTCTGAGGAGCAGCCGGTGAGCTTGAACCACTGACCTTGCAGTTCAAACGGCATTGCAGTCTGGCGCATCAACCCACAGTGCCATACCAGGACTCCTATATATATAAATAAAGACAATCAAATATTAATAATGAGTAAATATCATCAAAGGCTTAAAGGAGTTTGTTGTTAATAGTCTTGTAACTTTTTTATAGGTCTGGAATTATTTTTAAAAGTTTCATAAAAAAATAAGCCAAACTGAATGTGATGATGCTTATATAAATCTGTGAATATATTAAAAATAACTGAATTGTACACTTTAAATGGACTGCAGATGTAGTTCTGTAAGATAGGCACTGGACCACTAACCACAAGGTCGGCAGTTCCAACCCACCAGTTGCTCCTCAGAGACCATATACGGGGTCTGTATGAGTCAGTACAGCACGTAACATTTTAGATAGCTGAATTTTATGATCTGTGAAATATGTATAAATACAGTTGTTAAAAAATACGCAGAGATACACAAAGTAAGGAAAATTGAATATTTATGGAGAAAAACTCAATTCACAAAATTATTTTTTGCTAGATCTGGTGTGATGCTGTAGGATAAACACTCTACCACAAGATTGGTTTAAACTGCACTGTTGGCGGTTCAAACTCAGCAGCCGCTCCTCAGAAACCCTATACAGGGTCACTGAGTCGGGACTGACTACATGGTACTTAACAATAATCTTTTAAAAACCAGAATTTTGCATTCTAAACAAATGACATAAATTGAAGTGTTGTTATTGTTAAGTGCTGTTGAGTCAGTTAGGGCTTATAGCAACCCTGTACAGGGTTTCTAAGGAACGGCTGGTAAGCTTGAACAAAGAGCTAGGTTATTTCTTCTTATGTAAATAGCCAATATAAACTGTAAAGCTAATTTTTAAAAAATTAACTTACCTTAATCCACACTCTCTCATTGATAAAACTAAATGGTATTGATGGATTATCTGGTATCTGCTTGTTTAGAATGCTAAAATCAATGGAATCTTTGGCAATTCGGGGTGGAGTCCCAGTCTTCAGTCTCCCTATCACAAACCCCAACTTCTCCAGAGTCTGAGCCAACCCTATGGAAGGCTGGTCCCCTAAACGTCCTGCTGGATTCATTTCCAATCCAATTATGATCATGCCTCTCAGAAATGTGCCGGTAGTCAGAATCACACTTTCTGCATATACTTGGCTTCCATCCGCTAAATGAGGAAAAAAAAAAGTAAAATGAACTGTGTTATAGTTAACATGGATCAAATGAGAATATGACTATTTTACATAAAAATTTTCAGTCTCTAGAAACTTGAGAAATATTTTAAATAATAATGATATATATTACTAATCTCAAGAATCCAAGAAGTCTGGTACAGTGAACTTAATTTGTTATCATCAACTAACATATTCTTAAAACCATATTAGCACTGAAAAGTTGATTAAAAAATTAATGAATATGGCAGACTACCTCACATAATCTCTTATCCCTCCTGAACTGATAGAAAATGAAATAAAGGAATACAAAAGGTATACACCCACAAGAACAAATAATAAAAAATACTTATCGAAAGATGAGAAATTTTAGTATCTTTTTAGAAGATAGAAAGTAGTTTGAAAGATGTTAAATGATCTAGCAAAGAGAAGGCTATAATTCAAGTGTCTGAAGAGAAGACATCACTGAGTATGACATCTAATTTGGCCTGTACACGCTCAGAAATTAGAGGCACAAAGAACAGAGGGATGTAGGAATGAAGCTTAAAGGTGAAAGCAGAAAGAAATTACTGAAATCTCTATATAATATAACAGTTTTGCGGAGGTTTATACTTCAGAATTGAAACCTGAGAAGGTTCCAGATTCAGAGATATTGAGCATATTGGCTAGCAGAGTGAGGCACAGGACAAAGAAGCGTGTACTCCCTCCCTAACATAAACGTCCTATAAAGAGTTAATCTAAAAATTTCTACATCACAGGTAACAATAAAAAAAAAAGAAACTGGCTGAGAGAATCTACATACAAAGATGCCACACTTATGAAGAACTCTCACCAGAAAAAGTTAACGTGGAGCAAACAGTATGAAAAACGGGATACAAACAAACAATTTTCAAACGAAACAAATTATTTTTAAAATAATAGCTCAAAGAAGATATATAATAATTTTGGGATACAACATTGAAAAAGACAAGGAGTTGAAATGTGACAGAGCTCAGGAAATAAATGGACATGGAAAAAAAAACAACAAAAAAAGCAAAATTACAGAAAAGATTTAAGGAAAACGGACATTACTAAAATAAAAATAAGGGACGTGGAGAAATCAGTAGTGGTAGCTGGGCATCAGTTGTTTCTGGTCTGAGAGTAATGGAGGTTGTGGCTTATGTGGATTAACTGTTTTCTTGCGTATTTGATTTTCATCACTCTTCTTTGTTTTAATTTGGAGGAAAGACAAATGGTTGCACTGTGGATGGACACTCACAAGCTTTTAAGACCCTAGTTGCTACTCACCAAAGTATGATATAGAACACTGTCTTTATGGACTACATTATGCTTTTTGACCTAGATGATCCAAGACTATAGTGTTAAGTCCCCAAACCCAAAGACTCAGTCCCTCAAAGTAGTTGGTTATGACTAAGAAGTTTTCATATCTTTGCCCCCTGTATGCTCTACTATATACATGGATTGTTGTTTGATTTTTCCTGCTGGCCTTTCTTTCAAGAAGTATCTTCTGTTCCTCTAGCTGCTACAGGCTGGTATGCTGGTCCTTTCAAGTGGGAATGTCCCACCTCAGAAGGTTCTGGATGGGGCTCATTGGCTCTTGAAATGGATATATATGTAGAAACATCCTCTGCCAAACCTATATGAGTGCACTTCCATTTGACACACATCTACCTATGTATTCCCTTATAAATTATTATTACTGTTATTACAGGATAGTTTATGTATTAGTCGTTACCATTATTGTCTTTTCTTCTTATACATCCCCCAGTGTCCTTTATTTTGGTCATGTTATACTGATTGTACAAGGGGGCTTCAAGAATTTTGTGGAAAATGGAATTAAAAGATAATGGAATTTTTCCACAAACTTTTGTAAGTCCCCTTGTATATTGCCTTTCCCTTTACCCAGCTGTGTGGCATTTTCCCTTTCCCCAACATGTATGGTGCTGTAGGTTTGAACTGCAAGGTCTGTGGTTCAAGCTCACCAGCCGCTCCTTAAGAACCCTTTACAGGGTGGCTATGAGCCAAAAAACCAACTAGAGGGCACTTAACAATAACAAGCAACCCTAGGGGCATATCTTCTGCAAATATATCAGACGATGTTCCACTGCTATTCATAAGATTTGTAGTGACTGAAATTTAGAAGTGTTCTGCTTCTCATTCCTAGTCAGTCTTCATTCAGATGCTCCACTGAAACCAGTCCACCAAGAGTGCTCTTGCTGGTATTGAAGATTCTGGTGGCTTAATATAGCAACCCACAAGTCATCATAATGGCATGACAAACTGACAGATGAGTGGTGGAAAAAGTTTAATAGATAACGTTTCCTAAGACTGATAGATCAGAAAGCAATAATATGAGCATATTATTTAGAAATAATCATGGTTCTCTTTGGCTATAAGTATGCCACTAAAGTTGAGGAAATCTTCTAAGAAAATATGGTAAAATGACACAGATGCAGTAATGAAACATAGAAGTTCCTGGGAAATAATAGAGGAGTTACAGAAAGAGACCACAGAGAAATAATAGAACAGTTGAAGTGTTTACCTCTAGGGAGGGAAATAGTTGCTTTACCAAACAAAACTTTTCAACTATATTTGATTTTTAAAAATTATGCATATGCTTTATTTTGATTTAAAGATGAATGTATAACCACTTACAAAAAACAAATCACAAATAATAAACTGATCAAAATTAATTTTTTAAATTTAAGTTTAAAACTAGATAAAATAGAAATTACAATAAAAACTGACACAAAGGGGAAAAGAGACAAACATATAGGTTACATGGTTCTACACTAAGATGCTACAGCTGATCTTCATGAAGATCCAAAGAGAACCATGATTATTTAAACAATTTTCTTTATCCAGGAAAAGAAAACAACAATTTTCTAAAATAAGCAAAACATCTCCATATTTTGTTCTAAAATAAAGTTATCACATGGAATATCACGTGCTATTATCATCGTCTAGAACCAGTACATACCCAAAACAACGCCACTAACACGGCATTTCCCAGTGTGTTCAGGCTCTGGTTCTACAAGAATAAGATCTTCTACAGCTCCTTCCTGAACAGTAAGCAGTGGTGTGTTCAGGATTTCTTTCTATCAAGAGAGAAAGTTGAAAATTCATCAGTAAAACATTGCATCATATCATTAGAATCTTTCCTGTTCTCGTGTATGTTCTTTTCTGTTTTTACCTGCATGTTCTGTTTATAGAGTTGCCTGTCAATCTGAGCTCTTAGACCCCACACAGCTGGTCCCTTACGACGGTTTAATACTTTGTAATGTACACCAGACTGGTCACAAATGCGAGAACACAGGCCATCCAAGGCATCTATTTCCCTCATTAGATGCCCCTTTCCAATACCCCCAAAGGAAGGATTACAGGACATCTGACCTAAAGAGAATAAACAAAAGAAAAAAATTATAAACAACCTTGCACATAATTTTTAATAAGGAAATGTATGTATGATAAAAATAGAAAATCTGAAACATACACTAAAGAGAAAATCCCAGCATCCCAATGGGTCCAACAGGGCATCCTAGAAGACAAACTTACCTGAATTTTCTCTTGAATCATTTTCTTGGTATATTTTTTACCATTTCAATAGATTCGCCTTATCCTTTAAATGTGGTTTTGAAACTTTTACCCCATGAAACGTTCCCAAATTGAGCACATTTGGAAGAAGTCCCTTGATACAAGTTCCTTTTATAATTAATTGTATCTTTCATAAAAACCATCTGCTGTTTTCGTTTTCCAAACTTTTATTGTGCCCTGAGTGATAGTCTACATTGCAGAACACCAGTTTTACACTCAACCAATCACATCTTGTTTTATTGCAATGATTACAATCCCCTCCATACACTAATTGTTAACAGTATCTGCCTCTATTTCCTTTTTTTTTTTATGTTCACAAAACCATGCAGGAATATACAATCATTTAAATAACCAGAGGGCACATTTTGCAAGCCAACCTCCTGCCCGCCAGCACACAGTCTTTCTTTTCCTATGAGTCTAGAGTCCTCAGATGCTCTATGTCTCCATGCCATCACCTCTGCCTCCATCTCTGGTGTCGCTGCTTCTCTGATTAGGGTCCCATGTTCTGTTCATGCTCTTCTCTCTTAGTGGTCCTAAGGTCCTCTATTCCTGGAATGTAAGATTAACTCTCCCCCCTTTTTGTCACATAACTTCTATCTTTACAGTTGTGACCATTGTTAATTAGTCACGATAACAATTACTACTGAATCAAAAGAATCCTTGCCCCATTACCTTTCACCTGACCTGTCTAGGCAAGATGAAAACTATTCAGTGGGGATTCTACCTTCCCCGGCCTACTCCGAAACTAAACTACCTCTTGAAAACCTGTAAGCCAGACACTTCCTGCCTTTATAGCTCCCGCCCATTTTAGGAAGCCAATGTCTAAGTTGTCCATCTCTATCAACCCTGTGTACTGAGGGGATAGGATTGATCCTTGATGTGCATACTATTTCCGTCTTGGTTGATACTTAAGCTACTACATCCATAAACAAAGGTCAAGTCCATCAAATTGTAGCAATTTACACTTCATATCAGTTGAGCAAATAATACGAGAAGCTGGGTTCTATGAAGAAAAACGTGGCATCAGGATTGGAGGAAGACTCATTAACAACCTGCGATATGCAGATGATACAACCTTGATCGCTGAAAGTGAAGAGGACTTGAAACATTTACTTATGAAGATCAAAGAGCAAAGCCTTCGATATGGATTACATCTCAATGTCAAGAAAACAAAAAGCCTCACCACTGGACCAATAAACAACATTCTTATCAATGGAGAAAAGATTGAAGTTGTCAAGGACTTCATTCTTGGATCAACTATCAACACTTGTGGAAGCAGCAATCAAGAGATCAGACGACGTATTGCATTGGGAAAATCTGCTGCACAGGAACTTTTTAAAGTATTGAAGAGCAGAGATGTCAGCTTGAGGACTAAGGTGCGCCTGACCCAGGCCATGGTGTTTTCAACAGCCTCATATGGATGCGAAAGCTGGACAGTAAATAAGGAAGATCATAGAAGAATTGATGCCTTTGAGTTGTGGTGTTGGAGGAGAATACTGAAAGTGCCATGGACTGCCAAAACAACCAATAGATCTGTTTTGGAAGAAGTGCAGCCAGAGTGCTCCTTGGAGGCCAGGATGACAAAGCTTCGTCTCTCATACTTTGGACATATTGTCCGGAGGAAATAGTTGCTGGAGAAGGATGTCATGTTGGGTAAGGTGGAGGGTCAGAGAAAAAGAGGAAGACCCCTAAAGAGATGGATTGGCCAGGTGGCATCATTGATGGACTCAAGTGTGGCAGCGGTAGTGAAGTTGGCCCTGGATCGGACATTGTTTCGTTCTGCTGTGCATGGGGTCGCTATGAGTTGGTTCCAACTCAATGGCATCTGACAACAACAACATCAGCTGGATGCTTCAACTCGCTGCTATTTTCTTTTTGCTCTTATTTTGCAGAAATACTTAAACTGTAAAATTCTTGAAATGAGAAACCATATTTTATACTTTCCATTTAAATTCCCCCAATGTTATTTCAGAGGTGGTTGTGGTTGTTGTTAGGTGCCATTCATAGTGGTATCAATTCATAGTCGGTACCAATTCATAGCTACCCTATGCACAACAGAATGAAACAGTGCCCGTTCCTGGGCCAACCTCACAATCATTGCTATGCTTGAGCCCACTGATGCTACCACTTGGCCCATCCATCTCACTGGGGGTCTTCTCTTTTTCTCTGCCCCTCCACCTTACCAAACATGATATCCTTCTCCAGCAACTGGTCCCTACTGACAATATGTCCGAAGTATGAGAGATGAAGTTTGGCCATCCTGGCTTCCAAGGAGCACTCTGGCTGCATTTCATCCAACACAGATCTATTTGTTCTTTTGGCAGTCCATGGTACTTCCAATACTGTCCTCCTACACCATAACTCAAAATCAACAATTCTTATACCATCTTTCTTATTCAATGTCCAACTTTCATATGCATATGAGGTTATTGAAAATACCATGGCTTGGGAGGGTCAGGTGCACTTTAGTGCCCAAACTGACATCTTTGCTTTTCAACACTTTAAAAAGATCTTGTGCAGCACATTTACCTAATGCAATACACTGGGAGGCAGAGGGGTGGAAAAAGTTGGATCAATATCTGTATAACCACTGTAGCCACCACCGAGGCTTCTAAAAGTTTTTATGGCCTCCACAGGGTGGATAAATAATATCATGACTATGGTCTCATTTAGGAGTAAAAAAGATGCAGGCTCCATTCCTATAGAATTCTGTGATTATGGTAAGTTATCTAAGTTTATATGTCTTAGTTTCCCTATTGTAAAAAAGGGCTGATAAGTATAGTAGATATTGTTAGCTATCCCAAAGCCATTTCTCTCCTCCCCTTGAAATGTATAATTTTATTTAGATAAACACCCTTCCCTGTGAGACTCTGTGCTCAGGAGTGAAACCCCAATGCAGTTTAGGGATAAATCTTTATTGGCCTAAAGTAATTTTACTAATTCTGTTACTAGTTGCCAGTGTGTAGCTAAAGGACGGGCAAAAAAAATCACAGGGGAAGCAATGTTAGAGGTGCGTAGGAAAGAGTTTTCTAGCTCTTTAAAGAGACACAAAGAGAAAAAAAGTACCTTTCTGCTGAAAGATGTCCTCTCTAAATGTGACACCTAGAAGGTTTGCAGTCACTTTGTAACTACAAGGACAGCTAGGGTGGCAAAAAGCAAATATGGAAGGAATCTAAATCGTTGGATCTTCTAGGTCCCTGCATTACCCAACCTTAGAAGTGATCCACTTGAATATTTCTTGTGGCATAAGAAAGTTCTCGTTTTTCTTGTTTATTTGTTTAACTTTTTTTGTGTGATTTGTGAGAAGATTTACAGAGTGAATTCGTTTTCCACTCAACAATTCATACCCATTTTGTTTTGCTAAAGAATGTCTGTTCCATGGCAATGAAACAATATAAGACAGGATGAATGTAAAGCTAATGTTCTCCCATGTAAATTATCACATAATTCACAATAAAACATTAAAAAAAAGTCTGTTACTTGCAAAATGAGATAATATATATGAAGCACTGTGTCAGGTAAATAATAAATAACATTTATTAATAATTATTTTCTTTACCAGGCCACTGTAAAATATTTTCTGCCACTTGACCCTTTATGTTTAAATTACATAATTTCACTGAGTTGAAATTACTATTTACATAAGCATCCTTACATGAAAATCTCAGAAAACTGCCCATTGCCCTTTGCATAAGATCAATATACATAAAGTAATAATATTTATATCATTGAGTCTACATAAAAACATCCAACTTATATTCCTTAGTTTCTAATTCAACATATAATTTCACATAAAAATTAAAAAAATGTTTTATTATAAAAATCTGTTGCCACTGAATCGATTAGAACTCGTAACTATACTACAGGGTAGAGTCCAACAGTCCTAAAGGATTTTCAGGGTTGTAACTCTCCAGGGACTCCTGCTGTGGCGCTGTTGGTTAATGCACTGCACTGCAAAGTCCATTTGAACCAGGAGGCCTGTGGTTCAAGCTCCCCAGTTGATCCTGAGAAACCCTATACAGGGTTGCTATGGGTCGGAACCCGACTCAACGGCTCTTAACAACAATTCACTAGGGATGAGAATGCCATATCTTTCTCCCTCCCTCAGAGCCAAGGGAAGGTTTGAACTCAGAACCACAAGTGAGTTTGAACAGCCAACCTTTCAGTTAGCAGCAGGCCACTATAAACACTGTGCCACCAGGGTTTCTTCATCTTATTCCAATGTGTCAAATTATCTTAAGAAAAAAGGGTTTGATTTTAAGATAAAATTGTAATTCATTAATTTCTGAGTTTATCCACTCAACTGTCAGTTTGTAGTACTGTGGTGGGTTTCCGTGTTGCTGTGATGCTGGAAGCTATGCCACCAGTATTTAAAATGCCAACACGGTCAGGTTTCAGTAGAGCTTCTAAACTAAGACACACCACCTTTCAGTTTAGCCACTGAAAACCTTATTCAGATATAGAAGCAGGAGATGAAAACAATATGAAGAGCAGCAGAGCATTGTTAAGTATAGTAGTGTCAGGAGATGAGTCCCTAAGGTTGGAAGGTACTCAAAATACAACAGGGGAAGAGATGCCTCTTCAAAGTAGCTGTTGCTGTTAAGTGTTGTCAAGTCAGTTCCGATTCATAGAGACCCTATTTAGGGTTTCCAAGGAGAGGCTAGTGAGTTTGAGCCACCAGCTTTAAAGTTCAGACTGACCTTGCAGTCCAGTGCTTATCCTACAGCACCACACAAGGACTCCAAAGTCTATTCAAAGTAGTAGTTGTTGTTGATTCCCACTCACTGAGTTGGTTTCCA